CATACTTCCTTGATTTATGTTTTATTTTATTTTTTTTTTATTTTATAACGTGCCACAAGCTGATGCTTAATATGAAAAAGGTAAAAATAGTAAATATTTGTCAATTTATAGAAACATTATAAAAGATAGAACATTTTTTAAATGTTTTTTTTATTTGCCAAAAAATTTAAAAAAAAATGAACAGAACAAAAGCTATTGAATTCATAAAGGAAATGAAGTAAATAATTTTAATTTATATATAAATATTAAAGTTCAAATTAAAAAATAAACTATTTTCTAGAAAACTTTAATGCATTATTTTCGTAGAAATCTTTAAAGTAACAAATGATAATAAAAAGTGTTTTAATTATTTCAGAAATACTTAAACATTTTCTTGAATCTTTTAGTTTAAGTAAAAAAATTGAGGTTAAAAAGTATTTAAATAATTTCTGGAAAACTTGGAAACCTGGAAAACATTTTGTGGAAGTCTATAAAATAAACTAAGGAATAAATATTAATAATTTCTTCTAAAAAATTTAAATAAAATTTGTTGGTGAAAGTCCTTAAATGTAGTAAAAAATGTTAACTAAAAAGTGCCTAAATTGTTTCTAAAAAGAACTGTATTACATTTCTCTTTGCAGCTGCCAACCTGGCAGGGCATTACAAAAGGGCCACACAAAAAAAAAATGTGGCATTGGCAAACGACAATTTTGAAATTCGTGTAGGCAAAAGCTGCTGGCTGCACAGATGCAGATGCCACGACATTATTTTTGCCACTTGGCCTGGGAGCCGCAGCCGGAGCCGGCGGCCACGATAGCAACCGGCAATCGGCAACTTGCAACTTGCAACCGGCATGCGGCATGCGGCATGCGGCAAGCGACGACGACGAGTTGGTTCGCATCTTTGTCGCTCATGCTTTATTTAGGGTTTCATGTATAAATATTTTTATTTATTGTGCAACACATTCGCACACGTTGCAGCCACGTCCGCGAGCGAGCTGCAGGATGTGCAGCACGACAACTGCCGCAGCAACAATCGCTGCCACGGCAACGGCAACGGCAACAATAATGATGATGATGTGTAAACTTGCGGTTGGACGCTTAATTTCTGCCTTGGCCAAGGCCCGCTGGACACTGTAAATATATATATATATATATCGATATATATATATACTGATGGGGCAAGTTGCTGTTGCCAAGGGGGCAAGCAGATGCGCTTAGTCATGCTGCAATCAAAAGTGGCCAGCAGCTCGTTAAAACTTATCTGCACTAAATAAAATATAGTATTTAGCATGTTTTTAATGATGTGTGGCACAGATGCCACGCCCAGCTGGGCGCTAGTCTAGAGGCAACAAATCGATTTCATTCATGCGCAGCATTTTTCTGTTTCTGTTTTTCGTTTTATTGAAATCTGTCAATGACACGTTGTCAGGTTGCCAAAGCCAAGCCCAGGTCGAGTCCCTTTCACAAACGAGTCTATGTCTAGGGCGGGGCAGGAGCAGGGGCAGGGGCGTGGCAGGTGGGGAGGTGGCCTGGCCTGGCTTGTGCGGCGCTCACTCATCACGGCCATTGACAAGTAGCTGTCAGAGCAAAAACAAAAAAAAAAGACGATGGACCACTTTTGATATGCCCTTGGCCATGTACAGGTGGGCGGCAGGTGGGCAGGTGGGGCAGGTGGCTGCCGCTCACAATGTGCCAAATCAAGCGTAAAGAGCCAATATGTCCTGCAATGCAATAGAATTACAATTACACACAACACACGCCCCTCCGCCCTCCCGCACTCCCCAACAGTTGCAACGTGTGGCGGGCTTTCGCTTTTTCTCGCAGTGTAGATCACCAGAGTCTGGCTAACATTGATTGTTGCCATGTGATGCAGAGCTATCGATGTCTGTTGCGTTTGACTGATTTTCCGTTTTTCGCTGGAAAAACGAGACGCCCTCAAAGTGCAGGCAGGAATTCAAGGCGGCCCAGCCTCAGTCTCAGTCGGACTCGGACTGGGATTCGGCTGGGGCAAGTGCCGCCCAGGTCTTTAAAAATGTAAGAGCTTAGCATTCTGGTATTCAAATGCAAGAGTGTGCGTGTGTCTGTGTGTGTGTGTGTGTGTGCTGCCCGATGACTTCACACATTCCTGGGCACACAGCGGGCAAACAAGAACTTCCTTGAGACCAAACAATGTCTTTGCGTCTTCAGCTACAGCTCCAGTCCCGGCCACAGTCCCGGCCAGAAGTACTGCAACGGGCGAACCAGTTTTTGGTGAATGAAAAATCAAACAAAACCTAAAAAGTTGCACGGAAAGCCAAGCTAGGGCCCGGCAGAGGCAGCGGCAGCGGCAGCGGCAGCGGCAGACCGAAGAGTCGGCAACTAAAATACTTATAATAAAAAGAAATTAAAATAAAATTCAAAAATGTGCAAAACGAGCGCGCCAACAGAAACGAGAAATGCTGCATGCCACAGCCGCAGCCGCAGCCGCAGCCAAAGTCAGGCCAGGGCCAGGGCCCGCCCGAAGAATCTCTCAGTCAGGCTGGAACCTGTTGGACCAGTCGACGACGACGTCGACGTCGACATCAGCGGCGGCAGCGACGTCGGCGGCGCACACACAAAATGCCACCAACGTGTTTTGGGGTCCAGTCTTCAGCTCGGTTCTTGCGCGCAGGATAAAAGAGCCACTCGGTTCCGCTCTCTCGCTCCCCCTCTCCCCCTCTCTCCCTCTCTCGCTCACACTCTTTAGCTCTACCCGTCTCTGTCGCTCAAATGCTGCGCATTTCAAGTGTAAAACGCTGTCGCTTGTGGAATGCGCCCAACATTGGCCATATTTGCTGCACTAAATCAAGCGTTTAAACGAAATTTGAGTTGCCCCAAAAAAAATGAAGAAGAACAAACAACAACAACAACAACAACAACTTTGCCTGCGCTCTCAGATTGCCGAGAGATCAAAAACTTTTCGCCAGGCAACATAATTTATAGATGCCGTTTGCCTAAATTCGTTTAATTTCAGCTCTTCACACACGCACACACACGCGCACGCACACACACACACGAAAAGGCCTGGACTTGTGTAAACGTTTACCTGCTTTTGTGTGGGTTGCTGGACTCGAGCTGGAACCTGGAACCTGGAACCAAAAGGGTTGCCTCTCTCGCTCTCTCTCGCTCTCTCTCTCGCTGATCGTTCGTACATTATAATTTATAACTTTATCTAAACGATGTGCTGGTGTTTAATTTTCGACTTCACCTTTTCAATCTTGTGATTTTTGATTTTTTTCTTGTTATATACATACATACATATGTATATATATTTGTTGTTGTAGCTGTTTCCGCTGCGCGCATGACTCATGCGAGGAATACTTTTTTAGAATGTTTGCGTATTTTGAATAGATATATAAAAGTTTACCTACATCTATCCAGATGAACTTATCAGCCTCGGGATCTAGGCGAATGGGCTAACAAGGCCAAAGTGGGCGTTGCCGCGCCGCAGCTGGACGCCCGCTGTTGACCACCGTGAAGCCAACTATATATACATATATATCTATCTTTTTCTGGGCCTGATTTTTGGGTTTCTTGTTAATGAAGCAATAGGTGCGATTGTCGGGCGCAAAGTGCTGAGTAACTGGCCCGAAGTCGGGTTTGTCTCTGGAGTGAAAGTCTGGCCAAAAGTCGTGCATTGTTTGGGCCAGGCCAAAAGGCGAAAAAAACAAACAAACTGTGCAAATAACTAAATAAAACAAAGAAAAACCTTTGCGCTGAGCCGAGTTCTCATTTGAAAGAAATTGGCAAAGGGAACTCTACGAGCTGATTGATCAGATAATCTGGCTAACGATAAGGTCTTGCCAATTTTCGCAATAAAGGTGTCGCAGCTACCTGCGCTTGGTCGGACGACATCTGACTGTCTGAACTGTCTCATTTAGCTAATCGTTAAGTCCATAAATGGGAATATTCTGAAATCAATCAACTGTCAATTAAGCTTCTTGATTTAAGTGCATGCAAATTCCGTGCGGCTGCGATGAAAGCGAATAACTCGGGACATCAGAGTTGGGCCTTGTTTTATGGATTGACTTTTGTTAGCCCAGCATAGATCAATTTACGTTCTTTATTCGTATGCTAATCGCGGGCATTAAACTGGGTTGTCTTCTTGACTCAAGAACTTAGCGACGAGTTGGCCTAAAACTTTTAAGCCCGAATATAATCTATTTAAAGCTTCAGTTTTTATTAAATTAAAAAAGAAATGCAATTAATTTTATTTTCTGGCAATTCTTTTACAGAACATATCTTCTTAAATCTTAAGTTTTTATTTAAAAAACCTCAATTTGATACAGTTTTTACACTTCTCAACATTGTTCCTTCAATTTTTTCTATTTTCTACAAAGCCTTTCACAGAAAATTGCATTTTAAATCAAAAATTCACTATTAATATCTATTTTCTTTAGATAATCTTCATTTAATACATTTTTTGCTTAACTCTTTTTCTATTTTTTACAAATCCTTTCATATAAAATTTTTATTTGCGCGCTCGCGCTATTTCGCACCACTGTCCATTAACAGCGTCATGTGCTTGTGTTTGAGCAGCAGAGAGAGCGCGCTCTTTGCTTAAGAGAGCATTACAGTGCCATTCTGAGTATAACAGCTGTAATGCTGCATTCAAAACGTGCACGTTATAAATTGTTGTTGCCTTCAACGCGCAAAGAAGCAACAACAATTGCCCAACCAACCACCAACAACAACAACCAATTGGCTCTGTGTTATATAGTTTTTATTGTTTATATTAATTATTACTCAATTTCATTTATTAATTAGACAAATATTTGATAATAGCCTCACGATCTCGGCAAGTGTCTGGATCGCCATGGTTCAGCTGTTGGTGCTCTGCAAGTCAAGTTCTCGTGCTCGCAAAAGGCTCAAGTGCAAAGAGAACCGCGGCACGCAAGTGTGCGTGCAAGAGAGCGTGAGCGCGCGCGACTGGCTGGTGAGCTTGCATTGTGTCTGTGAACTGTGAAAGATACAGTTAGTTGTGAACGAACCGTCGTCGTGTGCAAACGTCTCGCTGCGCTAACAGCGTTTCCTTAAATCTGAAAGATACGCAATCGTAATCGCAGGCACGTCTTAGCGTATTTCGAATATATTCTTGGCCAAGAGCCGCCGCCAGCGCGAGTGCAATTGAAACGCGTGCAAATGCAAATCAATTAAAAATCTTCCCAAAAAAAAATAAATGAAAATCGATTCTCTCCAAAAGCAAAAAAAAATACGCAAAAATAACAGAAGTAAAAGCAAATGTGGCTCAGCTGTGAATAAAAGGAATCGAATTCTATGTCCAACTGTGCATTATCGGAAACTTTAAACTGTTGCTGATGATAACGAATCTATGCCCATTGCATACATATATACATATATAAATATACATGTGTACATTCATATGTAGATGGGGTTAATTGCGATTATGTCATGAAGAATCGTAGGCGCAATTCGAAAATTCTTTAAAAAATCTGGCAACAAAAGTCAAGAAAGCAAAGTTTGAAAAAGTGAGAGAGGAGGAAAGAAATCTTTATTTGTAATTGTGTGACGTGCGTGTATTTCAGTTTAAACAAAGCGCAACAACAACAACAACAACTATCGCAAGTGCAACAACAACAAAAATACGCGTGTTTTTTGCACACTTTTTTGCGCCGTCAGCGCCTGAGAGGCAACAACAACAAACAACAACAAAAGCAAAAGCAACAACAACAACAGGCAAACAGCACTCTCTGTGTATTTTGTTTGTGTGTGAGTTTCGGCCTAACCGGCAAGTGCAAAAAGTTTAACTGTGTGTGTGCCGCTCTCTTTGCTTCGCGCGCTCTCTCTGTCGCTCTCATTGTGTGTGTGTTCCTGCGTGCGTGGGTGTATTTGTGTCGGAACAGCTGTTTAGTGCAACATGCAGCAGCAGAGCTGCCCAAAATCCTAAAGGTCCACACACACACACACACACACATATATATATATAGATACGCACAAGCCGCTCTCAGGTGCCGTTCTCAGGTGTCCAGCTCGCATTTTTCGCATAAGCAACTATTTGCCACCACATGAACATGGCCGGCAGCCTCTTTCTCTTGCAGCACAAGCTGCTGCTTGTCGCGCTGCTCTGCAGCCACAGCCTGGCCATGGCCAAGCACTTGACGCACGCAGACATTGTGGCTGCCAGCGACGACGACCTCAGCACGAATGTGCACCACCGCCAGACGCAGCTGCACCACCAGCATCAGCATCAGCACAGCGCCGCAACGCACCACCGACGCCGACTGCAGCGCGACTCGCGCGCCAAGGATACAGCGCAGTGCGAGCCGGTCAAGGGTTACTTCGAATCGATCGACATCAGGTCGAGTGGAGTTTACAATGAAAAAGGTAGGTTCAACCAGACGACAGCTCAGCCAGCCATGAGATACGCGCAAAGCGACAGCTCAAGCGACTGCAAATACACCTTAAGATATAGTTAAATAAGAGAAAGCCTTAACTTAAATTGAAAATTGTTCGCATAGAATGTGTGCTAGCTTAGTTGCTTTGCAGGTTGCTGGTTCAAATCCCAGGCTAACTGATATAAGGCTACTTTAGCAAAGAAAGTGTGTTAGGGAGGAACAAAAGTATAAGCATATCTTATTTATTAAGAGTTGCAATTAATGCCAACTACATACAAGTTCTTTAATATTCTTTCAGTTCATTAGAGTATAGAATATAGTATAGTATGGTATAGTATAATAGATAGAAACTATTAATCGAGGGTAATACTCAATTTAACCCCCGTGACTCGAACCCAAATACTCTTTGTACCTTTGCCCTACTGATTGGGTCACTTAGTCATTTCATCTATCTCGTTCCATCTTGTCGATCTTGTTGCTAACAAAGTAACTTAGCAAAGTTGGTAGACTAACCAGCTAGCAGGCAGCGTATACACTGTATATATAAACTAACTTAAGCCACAATTGTATACTACAAATCTGTCAAATTTGTTTATGAGTGCCATCTCTCAACACGGGCCCAATATGCCCTGGTTGTGCGAACCCATCGGCAACGGCAGCTTAAGTCGAGTAAATCACTTGCAGTCAAAGTTTCGCGCCCAATTGTGCCTAAGGGGCGGGCGCAGCTGTAACCCAACGCAAATTCATTGAGACGACTTCGAGGCCCAAGTGGGCAACCGCCTGTCACTCGAGCGGGCAGCGGGCGGCGAGCGGCGGGCGTGCGGCGTTCATCCGTTCCGGAGGCGAGCCATGGGCAAGTGCCGGGTCCGCAATTAGAAGCGTATTGGGCAATGTTCAGCGCGTCGAAAAGTTGTTCGGCCTGGAAGCTTTTCCCAAGAGCAGCCCACGCTGCAGCTTCATTATGGCATAATGTATCTGTATCTTTATCTGTGTACGTCTCTGTATCTTTAGTTTTAGCTGTGACTGTGGCAGCTGCTGCTGCGACTGTATCTAGATGTCGGCATCATCATTTGTTATTCTGGTTTCGGGCATATCAAGTGGCACGCATCTAACTGTGTGAAGGCTACATACAAAAACACAGCATTTGTATGTTTACATCCATGAGATACTCGAAATCACGCTTGGCATATTTTGTTTATGCATATTTCACACATGAATGTTGCTCGGCGCTAAGCCAAACAACAACGATAACGAAATGGCCAGCAAAAAAAAAAAAACATTCACAAAAGAAAAGAGATAAATAAACCAAAGCGTAGCTAAGCATAAATGTATCTATAGCTCTAGCCATGTATCTATGCGTTTGTCTCAGGAATGCGAGCCACAAATAACAAACTAAAGCAGCTCACGCAGCGCGGCGCGGCGCGTAATTGAGTGAAAAATAATTATTATTGATTAACCGACCTTGACTTGGTATTTACACGTTTACGCACAATTACGAGGCAGCAGCAGCAGCAGCTCCATAGATACTCAGATACATTTAGACGCTTGTCTCTCTCTCTCTCTCGCTCTCTCACTCTCTTTGTGGCATGATGTTGCAGTTCTGTGTATTGTTACCTGCCTGCTGCGCGATGTGTGTTTTTTTCTCACACGCAGGTAGTTAACAAATAAACACAAGTAAAAAAGTATCTGCAAGATACATGGCAGCAAACGCCCGCAACTGTCGACTGACTTCTCTAAAGATTTATCCACATGAGCGCTCGCTCAATGGACCTGACTTCACAGACTTTGACTTTGTTAGTTGTTATTAGCGTTTGGCTTTTCTGGAATCTTAATTTGCGACCATGTATCTATGTATCTACGTATCTGCAAGCGCCAATTTGAGCAGCCAAAAGCAGCGCCTTCGGCACGAACACTTTATGTCTAGCCAGGTGTATCTATGTATCTCAGTTAACGTGTATCTGTATCTGTATCTATTCGTGTGGTCGTTGCTCTTAATGGCTCGCTTAAGTGTATGCCGAACTTCTCATTCGCTCTCCCCTGCCCCTGCCCATGCCCCTGGCCGGCCTGTCGTCTATTTACTGTTTACATAGTTCAACTTCTGGCTCGACTTGTGCCTTCTTTTTTTCTTGTTGTATGCTCCTCAACTGTTTGTGTGTTACTTTTACGTTTATGTGCTGTTTGTGATGCTAATCTGATGTCTGTGTCATGCATACGATAAATGTATTTCAGCTATTTATGAGTACACACAATATGTATCTACGTATCTGTATCTGTGCCTGCCCGTTCACTATTTGGTATGTAAGCCCGGCTACGCACTTGGGCGCAACGCACATAAAATTCAATTTCATTTTAATTGCGCGCGCTATGCGACTGCTAATTGAGCTGTAAGTACAGAATAAACACAGCCAAAGATACTGTTGGATAACCACAAGGCAATAATAGCAAACATAAATGCCCAGATACATGTTTAGCTTTTTGGCCCATCGCGTAAACACGGCCCATTAACATTAACACGTTACATACTCCGAATGTGCTCAGAACAATGCTCAAACGCAAACAGGAAGTCGTATCTAATCATATCTCTAGCTGTGCCTGTATCTGTATCTGTAGCTGTAGCTTGTAAGGCGGCGAGCATGTTACTAAATATTTAAGCAACTCGCAGGCAACTGAAATTAGAGCAAACTATCAGATACTTGCCCCCACTCTCTCTCTCTCTCTGTGTATCTGTGTGTGTAGATAATAGAAAAGTGCAAATAGAAGCCAAAACGTGAGGCAACTTTCCAACAGTTTCATAAACTATGCTCGGGCTTAAGCAATGTTTGGCTGCCAGGCACGAGATAAACCAAAAAATAATCCACACCAAATAACAAAACCCCTCGCCCGAAACAGAAAAGATACTTAATAAAGTTTTGTGCACAGATTTTATTACTTGTCAGAACTTTTACAGGTTCCTAGATTTACGGCTCGATTTAAGATATCCGGTTATTCTTGACTCTTTCATATTTGTAGTTTCTTTTTATTTTATTTATATTATTTTATTTTTAATGCTAATTAGCCCAATTTCGCATTCACTCTAATTAAGGCTTAATCTGCCAAAGCGTATCCGTCAAATTGTATCCGTCAAATTGTATCTGTCCAAAAATGAGATACACAAATGTTCTACAACATTTGCTGCATTAAATTCGAATTGCAAACCTGATAAATTGTTGTTGCTCATCTCGTTTGTTTAAACAAACGAATTTGGCGCTTTTCTGGCACAAGTTGTCGCCGTTTTTTCTCGACTTTCCATTTGAGCTGTGCGTCATTAACTCTTTTGCCTTGCTCCAAATCAATTTGAACTTAATCCATTAATTATGTTGGACATTTCACTTAAATTTAATTGCTCCGCTCTATTTGCTGGGCAACTCTTTTCTTTACGGACAGGGTTATCAATTGAGCTCAAAGCTAAACAATTTTTAATTGATCGATCGATTGTGCGCCAACTATTTACAAGCAGCTATGCAGCTTAAGACTTTTCCAAACAGTCTAATGCCCAATGGATTGAAATGAGCTCAGCTTTATTTAAACTCAAGCCTGATTGAATGGAAATCAATAAACAGCCGGAATAGTTGGGGCTGAAGTGGTTATACTTTCTGAGGAGTGTACAAATATGGATTGCTTTGCCAGCGCGACGCCAAGAGCCTGTTTTGCTTAGGTGCCTGAGCATCGGACTCATAAGCGAGAAGTCGCCGGCTCAACTTTTGCAGGAAAGGCATATTTATCTTGACTTTCTTATATGACATATATTTTGTGACCTTTCCACTTTTAAATCTTTATCCCAAATGTATTTGGCTTAACTTTCGAGCTACCTTTAATGAGATTGCTTATAATGCTTATTTAGCTCATATTCACCTGAAATCTAATGTGAAGGCTAACTTTTTCATAATATTTACCTCAAATTCATCTTAACTTTCCACCTATCGTATACAATATGTTGTATGTATTTTGTGTGAGCGAAGAATATCTTTCTTTTCCATCTATCTTATATATGATATATTGCTAGTTTGTTTTTTATATTTCGTTTATATTCATTTTCATTTTCGTCCTATTGAACATATATTGTTTTATGTATAATATTAGCTTGAAGTTTGGCATCTTATTATATCTTGGTAATATTTTCACAAGAATAAGCTCTTAGTATTTATATGTATATATATGTAAACCTTACTTATAAGAATGGGTTAGTTATATGTATATGCCTCATCTTTTTAAGAATAAGAATAATATCGTTGCATATATATACACACCTTACATATATGAATAAGAGTTAGATGTATATATATGCTTGCTTTATTGATATATATATATATAATCAAGCGTAAAGTTTACCGCCCAATTGATTGATTGTCTCTTGCTCAAGCTTATTTTTAAACTTGAGCATTTCTGTTTGGCTCTTCTTATTATGTCAGAGTCCAGAACCAGAAGCGCAGACAGGTCGTGAGTTCGTTTGCCCTGCTCGGCGCATTCGCTATTTTATTTGATATTGTTTTACTTTATTTTTATATGTGCGTTAATTAGTTTCAATTAAAATTAACGACGCGAGTGCGTTCGTCCATCGATTTCACACGCACTCAAAAACTCGCTCGGACTGCTAAAAAAACAAAAAACTGAAACGGCAAAGAAGGAGGAAATCTTAAGTTTGTATACGCCATGGCTGGCTGTTTGGCAGTTTGTTAATGTTTGCTTTAAATTTGCTGTCAGTTCAGTTTATTTTACACTTTTGACCTCAATCCTCGAGTTTGGGTTCTGCTTAGTCTCGCGGCGCGGCAGATGATGTCATTGATGTGATTGCCGACTGTCGATTGTCGATTGTTGCTTGTTGTGGCTTGTTGTTGCACAAGCTAAGCGTAAGATATTTAAATTCATTCAATTTCAGCAAACGAGCAGAAGAAGAGCTGCAGACTGCTTCATTCATTCATTCATTAAGTCATTTAGCTCAACTCTGCCCAA